CGTTTTCGTTAAGTTTAGTTATTAGGTCATTTTAATTCCCCTATTTTCTCTTTAAGATTCGTTTTTACGTTTTAAACACACCACCAAAACCCTCACAAAACTCCCCTGGTTCTAGACTTCCTTACTTTATATTTCTTTCGAAGGCTTTTGCAGGAAAGATCCTCCTTCCCTGTGGATTCGATCCCTAAGTACTACAATCGATCAGCTGTGCACTTGCGGCTATTGATTTCATTTAGGGTAAAACTTGACACCCTCACCACACGACACATCAGTAGGGGACAACTCGGGGACTCGATGGCAAATACCATCAGTACTCGCAGCTTTAACCTTATTGTGTATATGCCATAAAAAAGAGATGATGAGTGTGCAAAAGAATAAGTCTGGGGGAGAGAAAAAGTACCAAAGTGTGTAAGGCTGATTTGCAAAGTATAGTACGGGAAAAAGTCTAGAAGGTTCTTGGCATCTGAATCATCAGTGAGATCCAGCGATGAGGGTTTATGGACAACGTTGTGGAATTGGACTTAATCTGGAAAGCTGTAAATGTCTACGGAGAAGTACATGGTGGTTCGATTTGGAATGATGAAGCAGTAGTTGAGTTGCAGGGCGATTGGTCAAAAGCGATGTTCCAAAGAAAGGTTGAGTCTCCGTGTTTTCAAACCTCTTTCTCTTATTTGGTATTCTGTTTGCTTGAGGGCAAACAAATGCTAAGTCTGGGGGAGTTGATTTATCATGGTTTTTAACCATGGTATAGGTCTTATTTATAGAGTCTTTTTAGTGTTTTTCGAGTCTTTTGGAGTCTTTACGGGTCTTAGGTACGTTTGGAGCTTAACTGGAGATTTTGGAGAACTTTGGAGCTAAATCAGGATCAAACTCGTGAAGGACAAATCATGTGCATTAGTGTCGCTCGACACCGTGGAGAGTGACGTTCGACACCTGTCAAAGAAATAAGGAAAACGCGATTTTGTTTCCTGTTTGAAGAAGGAGTTGGGCCCAGAAGTTTCCAGAGAAGCCCAAGACGTGTTTTAGAAATATAAATAGGGTTTTTAGTCTCTTTTGAACTTTACCTTAAATTTTCGAGCAAGACATCTTCTTAGTTTTTGGCTTTTGCGATTTTGAGAGCTTGGGGAGACAAGTATAAACTCTGTTCGTTTAGAGAAAAGATTTCGAACCCCTTTATTTAATTTATTCATCTTCTTATTGCAATCTATTTAATCATGTGTGTTGTTTCAATATCCATGTCTGAGTAGTTAGCCTGTTAGGTTTAGGGTTCTCATTAAGGTTTTCTTTGGATGTCTGATTAATTGATTAAGTTAGGGTTCATATCTGTCAGTTCTTCAGTATAGGTTGTTCTTAAAGCTAATTCTGGACTGATCACCTAGAACTTAGATCTTAGGTTGCTTAATTGACACGGAAGTGTAATTGAATAACTGGAAAGAACCTAGGGTGAGCAAAGTAGCTATTCGCAAAGGAATTTGGTTTAGATGCTTTGTGAACATATCGAACTTGTGCAATAAAGCTGGTTTAAATCTGTAGGATTTGCAAAAGAATTTGGAATTCTAGAATTTTAACTTAGATAATTCTCACAACGGAAGTTGGTTAATTATAATTCTGTGTTTCGAGTTCAAGAACCGTGCTTAAACCTGAACCCTGACTAATCGATTGATCTGCATTCATTGATTTCCTGAGAAACGCCCTAAGCCTAATCTCCATCCATCTGAACTTTACAAACGTTTTTACTGCATTCGTTTATCTTTATTTGCATCGCTATTTGCTTTTCATTATCCTGCTTAGCGTAATTCGAATTCTATCAGGTTTATTGAGTGATTTCTTGTCTCTGTGGTTCGACCCCTACATACTACAACTGCACATCTGTGCTCTTGCAGAGTAGCTTAGGGATTAAACTTTGAGCAGATCATATCCTCAAGACTCATACTTTCAGCATGCTTCATAAAGGTCTTTGGAAGTCTTTGGAGGGAAAACTTTCATAAATATGTATGCATTCATAACATTAGTGCCTATGCATTCAACGACAAAATTTCTCTCCTTTTTAACATCTTGCTTTTAGTAACATATCTTAAGCTTAATGTCCATATAACTGAATCCTTTAGATATCATGTCTTACTTAATAGAAAAGATTGCAGCTTTTATAGTCGCATAAAGATTTAAGACTCAATGTCTCAAACTCAAAGACATTTCCGCAAGCATATTTTCATAAGTGAAGCCTAATAATATGCAACATACTCAGCCTCTATGGTGGATGTGTAAATCAACTGTGACTTCTATTTTTTCCATTAGATGGCACCTCTACAAAGGAGATACACATAGCCGAGATTGCAGTTCCTCCTTTAACAATTGGCTGAAGTGGTCTATTTCTTCCTCTTGATCCTACAAGCAGCCAATACATCATGAATTTACGTTGTCAACTTGAGGTTGCTAGGTTTGTCTCTAACTTAGTGAGCAATAAAATTGTCAAAGCAGTGGTAGAGATGGCGATGTAATCAGAGATCTAAACTAAGAAATTTGAAATCTCTCGATTATCTAATCATCTTCGTTGGTATGAGATTGTGAACTAGGAAATGCCCCCAACGTAACCAAAATGTAATGGGTAGAAAGAAAGAAACTCTCAAAATATAGCCGAAGAACAACATGTTGAATGAATTTTTATCCTACATAGAAGACAAAGTGAATGGTGGGGCGGTATCACCAAGTAAAAAATGGTAGAAAAATTAGTTATACTTTTCCAATTTAATTGCAAGTGTGCTTTAACTAAAACAAAATAACATCAATATTGAATCAAAAGTCAAAATTTTGTGGATAATTAGATGTTTTGAATCATGTCGAGATTCGTTAAATAGTATAAAAAGACATTTAGTCGATTACTAAGTTTGAATTACCTTGGTCGAGCAATTCTTCTACTTAGGTGGTTAGATAAATAGTTAAATCGTTTTTTCTTTCTTTCAAATATATTTCTTTGTATTCCCTCTCTGAATGGGAGACATTTTGTGAGAGAACAATTTTAGCAAAGAAAAATGATGAGGTCATCAAACCAGAATCAAACCAAATACTTGTTCCCGAGCTCAAAGAGACACCAATGACTCCTTCCAAAGCAAGGAGGCTGAGGGAAGGGTTCAACTTGGCCGTAGAAGCATTACTAAGCACCATGGAGCTTGGAGATGCATTCAAAACCGGTTCACAAGAGCACTACATGTGAGACAGTCCCAAAGCACCCGATTTAGACATAATGGAAGGTTTCGCGCGTTTGAGCCTCAAAGAGAACCAGCCTCAACCCAAGCAAGGGATGCATGTTTACTTGCCAGGAAATGAAGCTCAGAACACCAAGAATCCTGAAGAGACCGCCTCGGAGCTTCAAGATACAACAATCCCAAAACATGAAGCCGATAGCGAGTAAATGGAACAAGAAGAGGGACATAAAGTTGGACATGTGAAGATACTTGAAGAACTCACGGGACACCACATTAGCAGGACTTAAGATGAAGAAAACATCAAGACTAACGAGCTGCATGGACCGGAACACGACTTAGTCAACTTCACATCAAACAAGACCCCAACCGGCCTTAACCAGGTATTCTCAATTTATACGATTTGTGCAGGTAATATGGAAGTGTCCTAGTGGTGTCTAACACTCTAGCGAGCCTCAGAGATTGTCGGTTCAAGTTCAGAAAAGGCTGCATGTAGTTAGGTTATTTTCCTTTTTGGCTTAAGTAAACTTTCCTTTTGTGTCCAAATGAGACGCTTTGCCAGTATTCATTTTATTTCTTTTACAATTCCTGTCGTTTAAGAGTCTTATGTCGGTTTTCTTTCTTTGAGTCGAATCCTAGAAGGTTCAAAGTTGACGGACTATTAATAAAGTCCCACACACAGCTATTGTCGACACACTTTTTACCTTATCAATAAAATAACACTGTTTTCCTCTTAGCTAGTGCTTGAGAGACTTTGCTTGTGTTCTTGCGTCTGTGATTCACCGAGAGAGAAGTCTACAGTATCAGATATCCTCACATCATCACTGTGGTGCCTTCGATCCACTTCAAAACCATTCACCGATCCCTCAAGATAGAGCGTCAAAGCCTGCTTGACAGATCCCATCTCGATTCAAGTCTTGTGGAAACAAGCCTTGTCTTACCATCTCCATCCACTGACCACACGAGGGAGCGTGAAACCCAGCGTGTTAATCCCACCAATCCATCGATTCCGAAATTTTAGAAGCCTCACCCGAGTCTTATATCATTTTGGTATCAGAGCCAAAGGTTCTTGCCTTTGGTTTTCTATCCCTTGCACTTTTAGTTTTCTTTGTCACACTCATTTTGTTTTTCTCGATTCATAAAACTGAAAACCCTTGAAAAATAGTTGTTGCTAGTTTGCTTGTTTATTAGTCAAAAAAAAAGTTTGTTGCATTGCTAGGATAATACCGTTGCTTTAGTTTCATTTAAAAACTCAAATTCGAAAACCCTATAAAAAGTTATCTAGTTTTATCTAAGTGCCGAGTTCATATATTTTAGTGCTTTGTTATCCTTGTTATTCGGTGGTACCTATTGTATGATTCCAAAGATCCAAAAACCTATCACCCTTTCAGACTACCGACCTATTGGTTTGTGTAATGTGCTTTACAAAATCATTTCCAAACTTTTGGTCCTGCATCTCAAAACTTATCTACATTACATTGTCTCTGAAGAACATTTTAAGGAGTTAATGCACTCCTTAAAATCCAGAAAGAGAGTCTCTAAAACTTATATGTCTGTAAAGACTGATAAAGTAAGGCTTATGATAGAGTTGAGTGGGATTTTTTGGAGCGTACTATGAAGGCTTTTGGGTTTTGTGACCTTTGGGTTAAATGGATAATGGGTATAGTGAGATCGGTTAGTTATTCTGTGCTGATTAATGGAGATCCACAAGGAATGATTAAACCTGAAAGAGGATTGAGACAAGGGGATCCCTTATCCCCTTATCTTTTCATTCTATGAGCTGATGTGCTAAGTCACCTGATGAAGTCTATTGTTCGTCATGGGAGAATCCGTGGGACTAAGATTGTCAAAGGGGTTTCATCCGTTACCCATCTCTTGTTTGCAGATGATTCACTTTTCTTCTGCCAAGCAAACAACAGAAACTGCCGTGCTCTTAATGATATTTTCCAAGTGTATGAAAGAAGCTCAGGCCAGATGATTAATGCCTCCAAGTCAATGATGACTTCTGGCTCTCGCATCCCTGGAGATCAGCAAAACCGTTTAAAATCCATTTTGGGAATTCAAAACAAGGGAGGTGGCGGTAAATATCCATGTCTCCCTGAACAATTTGGCAGGAAAAAATCAGAAATGTTTAAAAACATTACTGAAGCAGTTAGGAAACGTACTTCTTCTTGGAGTTCAAGATTACTGTCTCCGGTGGGGAAAGAGGTCTTGCTAAAGTCTGTGGCTATTTCAATGCCAGTGTATTACATGTCCTGCTTTAAGATTCCTTCTGGTGTGGTGAAGGAAATTACAAGTATCATTTCGAGTTTTTGGTGGGAGAAGGATCAAGATAAACGTGGAATACCTTGGGTTGCTTGGAAAAAACTTCAGTTATCTAAGAAGGAAGGAGGTTTGGGCTCCAGAGATCTTGAAAACTTTAATGATGCCCTTCTTGCTAAACAGGATTGGCAGCTTTTGAAATATCCTAGCTCACTTTTTACCAGACTGTTTAAGGCTAAATATTACCGTGATGGTTCTGTGCTTGAGGCTAAGTCTCAACGATATCAGTCTTTTGGATGGTCCTATATACTGGTGGGGCTTGACCTTATCAAGAAAGGGGTTTGTTTCAATGTTGGATCAGAGGAGAATATTAGAGTTTTCCAAGAGAACTGGTTACCAAGTGACCCTCTTCGACCTGCAGAAGGAGATATTATATCTCCCATGATTGTAGCTGATTTAATCAGAGTTTCTTATGGCCGGAGAACATGGAACAAGGAATATCTACAGACCCTCAATGATGCAGATAGAAGTCTTGTAAAATCTATCTTTTTGGCTCAAAGTCACCAAACTGATCAGCTTATATGGCACTACTCAAAGGATGGTGAATATTTGGTTAAATCTGGATATTATTTGGCTTGGAAGTTAGCAAATCCCCATAATGAGCTCATTCAACCTCCACACGGGGATCCCCTTCTCAATGAGAAAATTTGGAAATTAAAAAATCTTCCCTAAGCTTAAACACTTCATTTGGCGTATTATTTCAAAAGCTCTGGGTACTTCTTCTTGGCTGAGAAGTCGTGGAATCCTATTAGATCCAACTTGTCATCGATGTGGCTTAGCTGAAGAAACCATAAACCATCTCTTCTTTGAGTACCCTGTTTCTCACATGTCTTGGAGGTTAGCTAATCTCCGGATGCCTTTCTTGCTGCAACCCTCTCAAGATACTGATGAAAATATCAAATATCTGCTGGATCTCCAATCGGCATGTGGTCTGTCAACCGCACAAAAACTACTTCCTTTTTGGCTTTTATGGAGGCTTTGGAAATCGAGAAACAATCTCATTTTCAACATACAGATGCCTAACCCTGCAAAAGATGTCTCTATGTCCATAGCGGAGGTCCAAGAATGGATCAATGCTACTACTAGTCCTCAATCTTGTGCAGAATTACACGTCGCTTCTCCAGAAACACATGAAGAACTGGTACATGGAAACCACCTCCTTCGGATACGGTGAAATGCAACCTTGATGCAGGTTTTAGTCCAAACACACAGATATCTTCAGGGGGATGGATTGTGAGAGATGAACAAGGAAGAGCAAGATATTGGGGATCGACTTTCTTAGATAATTCGAACTCTGCATTGGAGGCTGAGGGTAAAGCTCTTTCATCAGCTATGCAAAACTGTTTTATGATGGGTTTTCGGAATATTATCTTTGAAGGGGATTGCCTAAATCTGATCCAGAATCTCAATGGAACCTCCAAAGATTTTTCCATCCATAATCTGTGTCAAGAAATCTTGAGATGGAGTTACAAATTCAACATGACCAGTTTTCATAAGGTGCCTCGACATTGTAATGAGCCTGCTCATCATTATACAAAATATAGTAACTATCATGTTCCGTTCTATGCTAGTTGTTTGTTTGTGCCAATGTGGCTTTCTCACTTATTGTACAAGGATTATGTATGTGCTTCAGCTTAATATAAGTCATGATTTGGTTGGAAAAAAAAAAAAAATTTCGGTGGTACCCTTGACTTGCTTGTTGTTTTTATTGAGTACAAGGACATCTAAGAAAATCTAACTATCGCCATGGCCAATGGAGAACTAGTTCCGAACGATACTCTTGTTCAAATGATGACCGCAATGAGGGAAGAGTTGAGGAACATGACTCAACAAATCGGTAACATTCATCAAGATCTTGGAGCAATGATAGACCGCGTTGAAGCACAACCAAGGAGAGCCCCGGTTAGAGGAGCACAAATGCCAGCCGGTGATGCAAGTGATGATGACGAGATGCCAGAGTTAGAGGATGATCTTCCACCCGATCCTCTTCAACATCGACAACAGGGGAGACAGGATCCTCTAAGGAGAAATCCAGCTAGGGTAGTAGATACCCAAGAGCAAACTCATGATCTTAAACTAACACCTCCTAATTTTGCAGGAAAATCTGATCCCGAAGCATACTTGGATTAGGAGAGACGCATAGAGCACATCTTTGAGTGCTATGGCTATGCTGAATGCAAGAATGTGGCTGTTGCGGCTGCACAGCTCACTGACAATGCATTGGCGATGTGGGACAGAAACGTGGCCGAGAGAAGAATGCAACATTTTGGACCGGTCATAACTTGGAGTGACATGCAATTCCTTTTACGACTCAGTTATGTACCTGAACACTATCATAAAGACTTACAGAAGCGTTTTACCAAGTTTTCTCAGGGAAACATGAGTGTAGATGAGTATTTTTAAAGAATTTGAGAAGTTGATGAACTCGCTGGAGTTAGAAGAATCAGGGGAGGCCTTAATGGCACAGTTCATCGACGGCTTGCAAGAGAGAATTGCAAGAAAGGTGGAGCGAGCTCAATACATTGGGCTACATGAGTTGTTGCATCTTGTCGAGCAAGTGGAGCAGCAAATCAAACGCAAAACAACTCTCACCAACCACAACCGTACGAATCAAACATGGAACGCCAGCAGCTCTAAACCAGTAGACAAGGGCAAAACCATGGACATTAACTCAAGGTTTAAAGGCAAAAACACTGAGGCTCCCAAGTTCAACCGAGCTGAGCAAGGTAAGTGTTCTACCAATACTTCAAGAACTCGTGACATAACGTGCTTTAGATGTCAAGGCAGGGGTCACATGTCAAGGGAGTGCCCAAACCAACGAGTCATGATCATCACACCAAGTGGGGATTATGAGTCTCAAGATAAGCAAAGAAGATGACCCTAATGACATAGAGGAGGAAGTCGAATATCCTGATACTGGTGAACTATTAGTAACTCGTCGAGTGCTAAGTGTTCTTGTTCACCCCGAGGAGACAGCCCAAAGAGAAAACATTTTCTACACTAGATGCACCATCAAAAAAAAGGTTTGTAACCTTATCATAGATTACTGTTCCTGCACTAACGTGGCTAGCAAGTATATGGTGGACAGATTAGGTCTTGAGAAGACAAAGCACCCTCGCCCTTACAAGTTAAGGTGGTTAAACGATCACACCAAGCTCAAGATTTTCGAGCAAGTATCAGTGCCTTTTAGTATTGGCAAGTACCATGATCAAATCACTTGTGACGTGGTGCCAATGCAAGCAGGGCATCTACAACTCGGCAGGTCGTGGCAATTTGATAGAGCAACAAACCACAATGGCCGCACCAACCATTACTCTTTCATGCACAAGGAGCGTAAGTATAATCTTGCACCTCTTAGCCCCACCGAGGTATATGAAATGCAAGTGCATATGAACAAAGAGGCCGAGATAAGTAAAAGCAGTCTTTATCTATCATCTAGTGATATTTGTAAGACCATGAGTCTCAATGGCACTGTGCTACTGATGATAATTAAAGAGTGTTTGAGTGCAGGCATATGTACCTCTGAGATCCCACCCGAAGTACAAACTATATTGAATAAGTTTAGAGACATGTTTCCCGAAGAGATACCTCTAGGTTTACCACCACTTCGTGGAATAGAGCACCAAATTGACTTAATTCCCGGATCAGCATTTTTTCCAATAAGCCAGCTTATAGGATGAATCCCGAGGAGACTAAGGAGGCAAGTCCGAGACTTAATGGACATAAGGGTATATCCGTGAGAGCCTCAGTCTTTGTGCTGTGCCAGTTCTCTTAGTGCCAAAGAAAGATAGTACATGGAGAATGTGTGTGGACTGCCGTGCCATCAACAAAATCACCATCAAGTACCGGCACCCCATTCTACGTCTAGATGATATGTTGGATGAGTTGAGTGGATCCACAATCTTCTCAAAGGTGGACTTAAAGAGTGGATACCACCAAGTTCGAATGTGTGAAGGAGACTATTGGAACACCGTGTTTAAGAGCAAACAAGGTTTGTATGAGTAGTTAGTTATGCTTTTTGGCTTATCTAATGCACCAAACACCTTCATCCGTCTTATGAACCAGGTTCTTCGAGCTTATATAAGTAAATTTGTAGTTGATTATTTCGATGATATACTTATATATAGTAAGAACCTTAATGATCATCTACAACACCTCGAACTAATGCTTAAAACACTTCGCAAGGAAGGCCTATATGCTAACCTTAAGAAGTGCACATTTTGTACTAACCGGCTTGTTTTCTTAGGCTTTGTAGTAAATGAACAGGGACTACAAGTAGACGAGGAAAAGATCAAGGCCATACGAGAGTGGCCTACACCAACTACAATCGGTCATGTCAGGAGCTTTCATGGATTTGCCAGCTTCTACACACTTTGTGCGAGATTTCAGCACGGTGGCAGCTCCACTCACCGCGGTGATAAAAAAACCGTGCCATTCTCATGGGGTCCAGCTCAAGATGCAGCCTTTGAAGCCATGAAGAAGCGTTTAACACAAGCACCTATTCTAGCCCTATCCGACTTTGATGAAATGTCTGAGGTGGAGTGTGATGCATCAGAAGTGGGAATTGGAGCTGTGCTACATCAAAGAAAGAGACCAGTGGCGTTCTTGAGTGAAAAGCTCAGTGGAGCCACACTAAACTATCCTACCTACAACAAGGACTTATATGCCTTAGTCCGAGCATTGGAGACTTGGCAACATTACTTGTTGTCCAAAGAATTCATCATCCATACCGATCACGAGACTTTGAAGCACTTAAGAGAACAAACCTCGCTTAAGAGGCGCCATGCTAAATGGCTAGAGTTTATAGAGAAATCCCTTACGTAATCAAGTACAAGAAGGGGCAAGAAAATGTAGTGGCCGATGCCCTCTCAAGAAGACATGCATTCAGCTTTATCATGGAGGCAAAGGTTCTCGGGTTTGCGCACATCAAGGAGCTATACAAAGATGATCCAGAGTTCAGAGAAACTTATCAAGGGCATGGCAAAGGAGCTTTTAGCTCGTACCACTTGCACGAATGGGTTTCTTTTCTGAGACAAGAGGCTATGTGTTACGCAAGGGTCATTAAGGGATCTATTGCTGAATGAAGCACATGGTGGAGGACTCATGGTCCATTTCGGAGTGGACAAGACACTGGCCGTAATAGCTGATCACTTCTTTTGGCCATACCTCAAGAAAGATGTGGAGAGACATTGTTCAGGCTGTGATACTTGCCATAAAGCCAAGTCCAGGTTACATCCTCATGGCTTATACTTACCTTTACCTAATCCTAACGCACCATGGATGGATATTTCTATGGATTTCGTACTAGGTTTGCCCAAGATCAGACACAAAGACTCGATCTTTGTTGTTGTGGATCGATTTTCAAAAATTGTGCACTTCATACCATGTGACAAGTCCAATGACGCCACACAAACCACCGACCTGTTCTTCAAAGAGGTGGTGAGACTACATGGAGTGCCAAGAACAATTGTCTCTGATCGAGACTCTAAGTTCTTAAGTCATTTTTGGAGAACCCTTTGGAGGAAGCTTGGCACCAAGCTCCTGTTCTCTACAACTTTTCATCCCCAAACGGATAGACAAACTGAAGTGGTAAACTTTACATATCTACTTTACTTAGGGTCACTCTTGGTCGAAATTTAAAAACATGGTTAGATTGTTTGCCTTTCATTGAATTCGCTTATAATCATGCTACTCACTCGGCTACTAAAATGTCTCCTTTTGAAGTTGTGTATGGTTTAATCCATTAACGCCCTTGGATCTTTCACCCATCCCACAAGCTGAACAAGTTAACTTAGATGGTCTTAAGAAAGGGGAGTTTGATAAGAAGATACATCAGAAGGCCCAAGATAACTTAGTAAATAAAATGGAGGAATACAAAAAGAGGGCTGAGAAGGGACGCAAGAAACTTGTATTCGAACCAGGAGAGTGGGTTTGGCTACACATGAGACCAGAAATATTCCCACAACAAAGGAGTTCGAAGCTTGTACCCCGAAGAGATGGACCTTTCAAAGTTCTAGAAAATATCAATGACAATGCATACCAATTGGAACTTCCAGATGAGTTTAATATCCCACATAGTTTTAATGTTGCTGATTTGTCTCCTTATGATGCAGGTGATACAGTTTTGAGGACAAACTGTATTTGGAACAAACTGTATGAGGATAAAACCTCTTGAAGAGGGAGGGAA